ATAAATAGTACATTGATCGAGCCAATAGGCATCGCAAGCGAATTGTTTATCATGAAGGTGGTCTTGTGTGGATACATTTAAGGAAATAGAGGTTTCTGAATAGGTGTTTAAGCAAAATCCAGTCAAGAGCAGATGGTCTTTTTTTTGTTTTGAAGAAAATCAATGATAACAGATACAAGATTGAATTACGAGGTGATCATCATGGCATTTATCTTAATTGGTACCAAACTGTTTCATATATAATCTCGTAACATGCGATCATCATGGCATTTATCATCGATTAAAAATCTCATAGACCTCACCGAGAATTGCCCAAAGAGATCGGCTTTGCACACCCACTTTTCAAACGAATTGGACTTAATCGAACCGTCCACAACAACACCTAAGAAAACCAACTCCTCCGTCTCTTGACCTTTTCTCGGGTTTCTTTCCCTCCACCCCTAAAACACAGCCCCATTTTCACCGTTTATTCAATATGAAATCATTAAAATATTTATACTCAAGTTTGTACAAGAGCCCAAACTATTTGTATTTCAAAAAATATGTGGTTAAATGCTCACAATGGATTTTAGATAGATTTAGTTTCACCACTAACTCATCACGAAATGATTTTTTTTAGCAACGACATTGTAACAAATTTCTTTTTCCTTGATGATCTGTCAAAATATAAGTAAATCTTTTAATATTGAAATCCGTGCTAAGTCATTGCTAACACAATGGAATTTCTAGCAGCATATTCCTCCGGTAATTCGTACTGCAATATTTTTTTATCGTTTCTTGATGTGGATTTGTTATTCCTATCACATATCGATTGCCAGATTTCTCGGCTAATCCATTGTGCTATTTTTCTTGAATTCGGAATAGACTTTGGTAACAATGCATGAAAAGACAAAATTTTCGTTGATATCTTCATCCCTTGTTAACATTAACGTTCTAATCTTGTTGTCAAATAATGCATACAATGTTTTGTCTCTAATTGTTTGTCAAAAACCTCAAAGCATTAATTTTGGACAGCTAGATTTTTTTGGGTAGCCAAAACCTAAGCAAAACTTTGACTATATATATAGACGTGAAAATGTAAAGTCATTGAACTATCATCCTTTCACTCTCACAATATGGCGCATTGGCCCAAGACTTTCCAACTTAACTTGCTACTACTGAGTCTACTTGTAGTGCACTTCTCTCAAGCTAGCAGGCTTACTTTGTTTAATACACTAACGTTGGGTTCTACTGTTAATGAGCCACAAGGCAATAGCACAACATGGGCAGTTCTTGTGGCTGGATCAAGTGGATACCAAAATTATCGCCATCAGGTGATCAATATCTAAACTTTTTATGTACTGAGTGCGTATAAGAATGAAACACAATTCAATTCAATTGTCCGATAAACAAGAGTCGAAAACCAAAAAGAAGATAATATAACATCTTATATGTGTTTCCAATTCAGGCAAATGTTTGTCATGCGTATCAAATACTTAAACGTGGTGGGTTGAACGATGAAAACATAATTGTATTTATGTACGATGATATTGCCAATGACCCAAGCAATCCAAGGCCAGGTACATTAATTAACAGTCCCAACGGCTCAGATGTCTACGCTGGTGTACCCAAGGTATGTTCACCACCAACTTTTTACACATCCATATTAGTTGCTTCTTTATATAGAAAATATTCTGTCACTTATTAGCAATAATTCACACGGAAAATGACCAAAATGTCATCGAACTTTCTAGTTTACCTGTAGAGTCCCTAAAGTTTTTTTTCGGGCTTTATGGGTCCCTACAATAGGATATGACATGCTCTTTTAGTCATGTCAACGTATAAGTGACCTTTTAGACCAAAAAAAAAAAAAAAAAAAAAAAAAAACTTATATTATATCTCTATAAAGCAAAAAAAATAAGTTAGGAATAAATTCGTACCAAAAAACTCTCCTATTTTTCTAAAGCTTATTCATACTCAATTCGTATTCATCCCTGAACTTATTTTTTTGGCTTTATAGAGGTAGAATATGAATTATTATTTTTTTATGTTAAAAGTCATTGAACCGGTTATTACAGGTTGACAGGGACTAAAAAAGCAGATCATATCCTAGTTTAGGGATCCCTAAAGACCGATAAAAATCTTTAGGGACGGATAAACCCTAGAAAGTTTGTAGTGCATTTGTGTTATTTTCCCTAATTCCTACAAATATACATTTCAATAAGATAACCCCAATGTTGGATTCAATTAAGTAATTTTGTTGATTAAGCAAGCTATAAAATCATGTTAATTAGGATTATACGGGTGAAAATGTGACTGCGGCGAATTTCTACGCTGTGCTTCTTGGCAACACAACAGGCGTGACAGGAGGAAGCGGGAAAGTGGTAGCAAGCAAACCAAACGATAGAATCTTTGTTTATTACACCGACCATGGTGGTCCTGGAACCCTTGGTATTAATTAATATTGTTTTTCCATATTTTATTTTCTTGACAAAAATCAAAAATGAAACATGATTATATATTAACATAATCCTTGTGTGTTATAAATTACCTAGGGATGCCCAACATGCCTTACATTTTCGCTAATGATTTCATTCAAGTTCTGAAAACAAAGCATGCGAGTGGCTCATATGATGAGATGGTAAATAAAGAGTTTAATTGGTATCCATTTATCACACCATGAGATGTTAAATTTGATAATGCGAATAATAATTCATGTGCTAATTAAATAAACGTATGTAGGTGATATACTTAGAAGCGTGTGATAGTGGAAGTATTATGCAAGGTCTGTTGCCAGATGATCTGAACATATATGTAATAACTTCAACGAATCCAAGTGAGTTGGGTTGGGCTACATATTGTCCAGATATGAACCCACCTCCTCCTCCAGAGTACGACGTTTGCTTAGGTGACTTATTCAGTGTTTCATGGATGGAAGACAGGTATATAATATATGCATCTTGTTTTTATATTCAATGGCGGATGAATTGACATTCAAAAGACGACAGTTTTTAAGCTAGGTGATTCTTTTTAAAGTCTTGTAATTGTTTGTGAATTTTGCTTCTTAGTGACTCACAAGATTTGAATACTGAAACTTTGGAACAACAATACTTAAAGGTTAGTATTTTGATTTTTCTTTTCCTTTTCTTTATCAATTATAATCTGTCTATACATTCTGCAGGTGAAAACGAGGACTTTAAATAGTAATTATTCGGATAAGGGATCTCATGTGATGCAATTTGGTACTCTAAGTATAACCAATGAGACTGTTTCCGTTTATCAAGGTTCCACTCCTTCGAACTTCTCTGCCAATCCAATTCAATCTCTGGGCTCCATGGATGTTGTTAACCAAAGAGACGCAGATCTTTATTCAATGTGGCAAAGGGTATATATATGCGTACTTAATGAAAAACAATGATACTGGACTTGATGGTTTTATAGTAATGTATTAATATTATAATTTCATACTCTTTACAGTATAAAAGATCAACAGATAATTCAGAACAGAAGGAACTACTGAAGAAAATCAAGGAAATAAGAACACATAGGGAGCATTTAGATAGTAGTGTCGATATGATCCAAGGCCATTTATTAGGCAACGGAGAAGAGTCAGTGAGAGATGAAGGATCGGTTCTGGTAGATGATTGGGAATGCCTCAAGTCTATGGTAACAAAAGAATACATTTGTCATTCACTTTAGCATGCTTTTGCTAAGTTATTTTTCTATATTACTAACTTTTTCTACTTCTGATTGATTAAGGTTCGAATATTTGAGACACATTGTGGATCATTAACTCAATATGGCATGAAGCATACACGAACTTTCGCTAACCTCTGCAACAGTGGAGTTACTAGGGATGCCATGGACGCTGATTCAGAGGCGACATGTAGCTCGTATAACATGGGGAAATGGAATCCTGCAACTCTCGGTTATAGCGCCTGATGCACACCTGAGAGAACCCCTTCGATCAAGAAGGAATGAAGAATTGGTGTATTTCGAGATTTTCATTTGTAAAAAGAGAATAAAAATCGTTAACAGAAATCTCAAACTACGACATGATATTTCTTGTTCCATAACCAATTCATCATGGTTATGATTATGGTATAAAAAGAGAATAAAAAACGTCAATAATGAGCAAGGATTATATTTTAGGTTTGAGAAAATTTGGTTTTTTTAAACGGATAAATATTTAAAAGTTATGAGAATATTTTATGCATTTTAATTTTATATAATATGCATGTGACTGATCGATAATGATTTGCGTTGGGTACATGGACCCCACTTAGCAAGATTGTTACCCTAAATACTATGTAAAAAGGTAAAATATATTTGTTGTTCTTCTGCTCCCCAGACGACCCCAAAGGACAAGAAAAACAAAGACCCTTAGTAGCTTAATTGGAAAAAAGAAAAATAAGTTTTCATCCAAATCTAAGTATAAACCATATCAAACGAGTATACTAATTACTAAGAGAAAGCTGAATTACAAAGCCATCTAAGTATAAACCATATCAAACGAGTACAAATGTCAAGAAAAACAAAGACCCTTAGTAGCTTAATTGGAAATAACTAATTCGATGCTGGAAAAAAAATCAATATATTCATTTCAAATACTGGACCGATTGTAGGCTTTTTAGATCCGATCAGATTCCAACTTCTAACTTCGTTCGGTTCTACTAAACAAGCATGCTCTTATTTTTTATTATTTAACTCTTTGGTCTTTAAATGATTTTCTTTTTTTTTTTTTATAAAAAAAATGGATGAAACCATTTTTCTTTATCGTACATTGTTCTCAATTGCATACTGTAATAAAAAGCAAATTATTATGTTTATCATTTATATATTTATATATTTATAATTATATTTAGTTATGTAAAATTAAATGTAATTAAAATTATAAACTAGAAAACTAAACCAAACACTACAAAATCTAATCCAGTTTGTTTTTTATTCACAATAAAAGCGTCTACATCATTGGATGCGACATTTCCAGTTTTATAATCGGGGAGAAAATCAATGTTTGCTGGATAAATAAATACAAAAGATAATATTTTATAATAAAAACAAACTCCCTAAATAAAAAGTAAATAGGGGGATGAACGTGAATGGAAAAATAAAATTTAGTAATATAACTTTATTACAAACATATTCATATATTTTTGTACAAAATGTAAGTTATATCAACATTAAATTAAATTTTCTTAAATATTTGCTAGTAATTAAAGTATATATTTATTTTAGATTTGGCTATAAATAGTAATATATTTTAGATTTTAATATTAAGTTTATTAATTATTCAATTTACATTTCATTACGTTCAATTAAAAAAATTAAAATATTATACATATAATTTGTTGAAATATTATTACAACAATATAATTTTCGACTTCAGTTTAATTTAAATTTAACGATTAAAAGTAAAATGTATGAAATCACTAAATTGTATTTTTTTTTTTATACATACGAGTCTTACGAAAAAAAAAACTAGGGAATTTATTCGCCCACCCTAAGATTCCAGTCAGTCAGTCACATAGCATATGTAGTAAACAAACACGGAGTGCATCAGTTTCCAATACATAGAGGAATTTATTGCAAAAAATGGATGAATGTAAATCTTCTAATTGAAAGGAGACTCCATAAACATTATACCAGAACTTGTGTCCTATCCAGGGAGTCATTATATGGATGATTAGTATCAACCCAAATCAGAATATATCTAGTAATATGGAAGAATTCTATGGTAAATTTAAATCGATCATGTGCGATAAAATCTTTATTAGGCAATATTTGAGCCCCCATGTTAGTGCTGGCATGTATAGCCAATATCTAAAGCATGCCGTACTAATAAGTGCATGACTTGTTTATGATAATCATGCTACAATATTTGAGGCTTTATTCAGGACTCCTAAAACGTTCAATTGGCCTTTTAAACACTAATTATTATGTTACAATCAAAACAAACAAAATTGAATACACTGATAAATTTCAAGATGGCCATTTCACATGTCCCAAAAAGCATTTCTCATCGTACCTTCTGAAAATGTCCTTTTGTAATGCAAAGTGCCCATTTTGGAAAAATAATAGTATGTAGAAAGTAGGAACTAAATATCCAAAATACCCATTTTGCGTATATATTGATTAATTTCCTTCTCATAATAATTTTGCAAAATTACCCTTTAGCATGAATAGTAGCTAATGCCTAAATCATGTGCTAGTGTAGAGAGAGAGAGAGAGAGAGAGAGAGAGAGAGAGAGAGAGAGAGAGAGAGAGAGAGAGAGAGAGAGAGAGAGAGAGAGAGAGAGAGAGAGAGAGAGGATGTCATTTGGTCGTGGGTAGGGACATTTTGGTGCATGTCACTTTGCGAAAATGTTTGTTAATTGATAAATCTTGTATCAACATTAAAAAATAAACGGTTTATCAAAATTTAAACTTATAAAAGTTCAAGAAATTTTATTTGAATTACTGTTTTATCCTATATGATGATGATAAGTCGAGAGCTTTTCTTAATGTTAGAAAAAACGGTTTAAAAAAAATTACAACTATCCAATCCATTAAAACTCACTTCTTAGTACTTAGGACCATTTCACACAATTTAGAGGTGATCATAGTGCGGTCTTTGGACCAAACTGAACCGTACACTACAAGGTGTGGTTTTGTCTTTAGAAAACCATTGGGTATCGTTTTAACTGGTTTTGTTTTGCAGTTTTCCCATCCAGTATTGGTTTGTATCGATTTGACGTTAGTTATTAAGTGAGTCAAAAATATGGTGCGACTTTTATGTTTACTACTAAGGTTTTATATTGGGTAAATTACACCAATCGTCCCTCGAGTATGTGTCCAAAAGCACGTTTGATCCTTATTTTCAAAAATTAACTCGGACCGTCCCTCATTTGGTTAAAAGTTGCATGCTTCGTCCCTCGCAGATATAAAATGACTATCTTGCCCTTTTCTTTTTCTTTTTCATTTATTCTTCATTTGTTTATAATTTATATACTATTTTTTTTGTTAAGTATAATTTTTAGAAAATGGAAATTCCACTTAAATTGGTTCCGAACCTTCTCACCATCAACGACCTCTTACAACCAGTCACTTCTGATACCAGCCACCTCCGGCCACCAGCTAACTCCGACAAACACCACCATTCATCTCCAAAAATAAAAAATAAACCTGGAATTAAACCCTAAAACAAAACCCAAATCCATACCCTAGATCTACAAATCAGTTAAATGAAGAAGAGAGATGAAAGGATATGAGAAACACTGTGGTCGGACACCAAGCGTTCAATCCCTTATCCTACCATTGCCATGAAACCTGAAACCTGGAACTCCGGTTGGTTTCTCCCCAAACTTGTTTGAAAAAAAAATCCCAAAATTTGTTTCAGTGAGGAGAGTTGATGTGATCTATTCGGACATTGTTCTTCTTCCACCAGGCATCGTCGTTCCCCTCCCTTTCCTTCCTCTTTGTCTCGAAACTCAAGGAGCTGACGATCTATTAGATGATGGTGTAGATATGAGACAATGGTGCCGATGGCTTACAGGTAGAGATCGACATTTTCAAGTGTTTCCGGCGAAGAGATGGTGACGATGGCTTACAGGTCTAGGGTTTCCGGCGAAGAGATGGCGAAAAGATGGTGACGATGGCTTACAGGTAGAGATCAACATTTTCAAGTGGCGATGACAATGTTGTAAGTGGCTTTAGATGTTGATGGATGTAGAGAGAAGTTTCATTGGAGGTTAGGGACGATGATTGGAATAGCCACCTGAGGGAGTGGTCGTCGGAGGGAGTAGCTGCCAGTGATGGTTTAAGGATGGTGGTTTTGAGTTTCTTAGAAGAGGTTAGAGACAAGAGGAAGAGAAATATCGATAGAGGAGACGATGAGGTGGGTGGGAAGGTAGGACAGGGGCCTTTTTTTTCTTTTTTAAATTACTAATAATAATAATAACATTAAAGTTAATGGAAAACAAATGCACATAGGGCATTATAGTCATTTCAGATCCAGCAAGGACTAAAACCGCAACACAATAATTTGTTAGGGACGAAGCGTGCAACTTTTAATGACACGAGGGACGGTCCGAGTTAATTTTTGAAAATAGGGACTAAACATGCTTTTGGGCACATGCACGAGGGACGATTGGTGTAATTTACCCTTTTATATTTAACCATAATGTTCATGTGAAGATTTATGATTATATGTCATGATGTCGTTTCCTCATTTTTAGAAATCATGATTTCAAGTTTTTAACGTTGATTACTTCATTTGCATCCAATACTCTCCAGGGACGGATCTAGTATGGTGCCAACAGTGGCACCGACAACACTTAGTTTTTCCTGACGTAGTGCAAAATTTTCAATTTTTTTTTCTTTTTTTAGTATAAAATATGTCATCGGCAACACCTATTATCGATCGGCAACACCTATTACGGACCGACAACACCTACTACAGAATCCTGGGTTCGTCTCTGATAGTCTCAAACTCATTTTTTGTTTAACTTACACTTGTAACTTGTAAGTTATAGCCCGTAGTGGTTCCAAAAGCTAGCAACTCACAAACACAAAGTGATAAACTTATAAATTGTCATCAAATTTAATATATAATATATATTAGAATTTATTAATTTTTTTAAAAGTACATATAACTTTATATAATATAAATTTGTGATCTATTGTGTTTATGCATGCGGTGCGGTTGGGTTTTGGTGGTACACTTTCTAGATAAAAACCCTAACATAACAATAAATTCGGTTTTTGCGAAAATTAATTTCGTAGTACTATTGTTTATTGCATCGTTTTCGGTTTTCAGTTGCATTTTGTTGCCTTTTTAACAATTTTTTTTATTCGGTTTTAGTTTTGATCACCATGATAAAATTGTTGACTATTTTTGAAATGAAATATATATATAGAAAAGTCCTAACATTTTACTATAATTTTGGAAAAATCTCAAATTA